TGCAAGTAATTTTTTATAGTTCAATTAGCCATACCAAACGCATAATGAAAGTAAGGCTCAACCCAAATTATTAGCTTCTTTTCTATCCCTTTGAAATTCAATAGTAAACAATCAAAATTACTTCAAATTGAAGTTACTACTATGCCACTTGTGCATTCCAATAACCAAACAGGTAGGATTAAGCTCTCACTTCTGTGAAGGTAAAATGCTAAAAACTTTGATGTTGCGAGGAAGATAAGCGTTAATGCAACTTGCAAGAGCAATCCCACAAGGATCATCCTTCCATGCATATTCGGGGATTTCCATTTTCAACGATATTGTAGTCGCCAACGAGTGAACCTATGCAACAAAAGATTTAAAACAAAAACCTTCTAATACCAAGAAAACAAAAAATACAGCACAAGCAACACAAACAGTGGATATACAACGGATTGAGACAAATGGGGCAACGAGATGGTTAATTACTCCTTTATCAGTTCGGCTACTTCTCGCCCACGCGATTTTCTGGAGGTCCCCAAAATTACTATCACGGATGCCACCAGCCTTAAAAATGGCAGTTTCCAATTCCTTCTCAATAGCTACATTTCAAAATGGCAATGCTTGAAAATTTAGCCAGACCCCATCCACGCATGCTAAGCTGATTGAATTTATGTTGCTCAAGTCAATATTAACACTATATGACTATGACTTCCCCAGAATAATAACAAATGAAAAAAAAAAAAAAAAAAAAGTCCATAACCCAAGTAAATACCAACTATTTAGCACCCAAAATACGTTCTTTGAATCTTTCCATTATCGCAATTAAGCTAAAAAAATACAAGGGAATGAAGAAGCTTACTTGATAATGAATGCTCGTCTCGTTGCATTTGTAGACCTGAAATCAATTAAAAAAAAAATCTTAAGTGGAATTTGGGAAAGCTGTAAAACAGCTTAAAGTAGATATGAAATGATAAATTTATAATGAAAGGAACCTCTGTAATCGGTTCCGACGTAGCCGACACGCATGACGACTTTCTTCTTTCGAAAGGGTTCCCATTTGTTCTCCGAGTGGGGGGTGGTGTCTTGGGATGAAGACAGGCAGCGGAAGTAAATTGGGGTCAGTCGTAGGGGTATTATCAGGATTGAAGAAGTTCTAAAAGTAGGAGTTGGGAATGGAGACTTTGCGAGAAAGGGCGAGAGCGGGAGTCGGAGGGAGGAGATAGCCATGTCTGGCGCGAGGTCGGAGCAGAAGTGGACGAACTACCAAGGGACCGAAAGAAGCGGAGGGAGTGATTTGGTTGGGGATGGCTTGAAATGACCATAATGACCTTACTGCTTTCGGGTCAGGCCAAACATATTGGACCGGGCCGGTCCAATCCCCCACCGTGTACCGGGTCTAATTTTTCTGCCCAAAAACCTTACCAAACATGGTCGACCTGGTTTTTTAGGGTGATTTAAAGGGATGAACAAAAAACCCGACCAACCCGATTAATACACTCAACCCAACCCAACCCGATTCATTTTTAATTCGAACCGACCAACTCAATTAAGAGTTCAACTTAACCCACCAAACACGACTATTGATTAGGTAGGTTTAGGTTGAGCTTTTCTTAATCTAATTTAATCCGAAAGCATCCAATCTATTTATTTATATAAATAAATATGTTTTTGTCTCATATTTTACATTATTTACTTGACAACCTATTATATTTTACGTTGTATGAGTTTTTATTATTGTTTGTTTGTTGGTTTACAACTTCTATATATAAACTTGTTTTGCACATATTTTATTTTTATATTGGTGTATAACTTATGTGATAATTTTAGAGCTTTATAAGGCTAATATTATGATGAAAGTTAGCTTTCTTTTTATACATTTCTTATTTTGGGTTGAATGATTAGCTTTATTTATTTATTTATTATGTTCAACCCAATCAACCTACTCAAATTTTAATTGGGTGGGTTGATTTTAAATTTTGGGTTAATTAAGTAGGTTAAATTTGAAATCAACCCACCCAAACTTAATTGGGTGGGTTGAAAAATCTAAAAAACCCATCCAACCCAACCCAACCCGATCCATTTTTAACCCGAACCTGACCAACTCAATTAAGAGTTCAACCCAACTCACCAAACCCAACTATTGATTAGGTGGGTTTGGGTTGAGCTTTTCTTAACCCAAGTTAATCCGAACACATCCAATCTATTTATTTATATAAATAAATATTTTCCTACCTCATAATATATAGTTTTTGTCTCATATTTTACATTATTTACTTGACAACCTATTATGTTTTACGTTGTATGAGTTTTTATTATTGTTTGTTTGTTGGTTTACAACTTCTATATTTAAACTTGTTTTGCACATATTTTATTTTTATATCAGTGTATAACTTATGTGATCATTTTAGAGCTTTATAAGGCTAATATTATGATGAAAGTTAGCTTTCTTTTTATACATTTCTTATTTTGGGTTGAATGATTAGCTTTATTTATTTATTTATTTATTTATTATGTTCAACCCAATCAACCTACTCAAATTTTAATTGGGTGGTTGATTTTAAATTTTGAGTTAATTAAGTAGGTTAAATTTGAAATCAACCAACCCAAATTTAATTGGGTGGGTTGAAAAATCTAAAAAACCCACCCAACCCACTTGATGTTCACCCCTAGTGATTTACACATATACAAAAATTTTGATATAAAAGTTTAAATTTAATAAAAATTTTGAAATATTACAAGAATAACAAAATTTTATATCATTTTTATGTCAATAAATAATGACTATATCATTATATAATATAAAATATAATATCATTATGATAATTATTATGTCATTTTTGTTATATTTATAATATTATTAAAATTTTGTTAAATTTCAACTTAATGTATGAAATTTTTCCATGTAGTGTAATTACTTCTTTTTTTATTTTATTTGATTTTAAAGAGAATTAATGAAGAGTAATGGATGAAAATCTAGACTCATGCACTTTAAAAGGGTATTTGTCTTTTTTCCCTCTTATTATATATATAAATTATATAACATGCACACTGTCCTTGCCGGCTTGGTCCATAAAGAGTCCCAGATTGGGCTAGGCCAACTACATGTCATGGGGTTGGGTCGGCTCGGCTGAAAAAGAAAGCGAGTCGGGTTTGGGTATGTTTGGCCTGTTTTCACTTTTTTCGGCCCATCTGAATCGAGTCGAGCATTCCAAATTAGGACCATTAGTATTGGGGGAAAGGAGACAAAGACTCCTTAGAGTACATTGATATAAATTTTTACCTCTTACTCTTGATTAATATCTTTTTTAGTCAAATAACTATATTAGTCAAAATAGTGTTAATAAAAAATAAATGATAAAAATTCAAACCTATACACTTTAAAAGTAAGTTCAACAATTTTCTATTCAGCTATAAATATTGGCGGGCAGGTGGCCTAATGCACACAACCAGATCAGCTCGGGTTTAGATTTTTGACCTACATACCTGGCGAGGTCATCCTACATATAATTTACATGTAAAAATATACGACCAACATTTAAGGTTACTAGGATGGGTTGGGTTGTATCTTTTTCTTGGCAGGTGAGCTGGGTTCGGTTGTCTTTCGACAGCGCTATCATTCATATATAATAATGAATTATCCTTCCCTGATAAAATTTACACTTGACCTCACTTTGAGGTGCAAATTGAAATTTTCTAACTTTAATTTTAAAATACAAGCAATATGTTAATTTTTTAAAAAGAAAAACACAGATGACGTGTAGTCGTGCAAGTCATGGACTCCTGTGGTGATCACTCTCTATAGGTGTTTTTCTAATCTAACTATATAAAAGAGTAGATATTAGGGGTGAAAGGAATTACCCCGAACCCAACTATCCGACCTTACCCTACCAAAAAATAAAGGGTTTTTTTTTTTAGTTTAAAATTAGCCCAACCCGCAATGGGCGGGTAGGGTTGCGAGCTCAAGCTCCATTGCCCCGCTTAACCCTACCTGGCCCAAAATAACCATCTGCACTTTAAAAAAAAAAACCTTACATCATCGACCTTTCTCATTTCTTATTCCGAACAAAGCACCCCACTGCCTGCTTTGCCTCTCTCAAATATGATCTGACTCTGAGTCTCACTTTGCCTTTGTTTCTTCTTCTTCTCAATTCCTCTGCCGTTCCTCTTCTTTTTCTCACTTCCTCCGTCGTTCCTCCGCCCTTCCTCTTCTTCTTCTCAGACTTTCTCTCACGGTTTCGAGCCGTCAGTCGCCAAGATTTTCTGCCAAGATTTTATCTCGTCAAGAATCAAGATTAAGCTACCGGTAATTTAATGATTTTTCTTTCGTTACTGTTACTTTTGTGCTTAATTACAGATTCTTCTTGCTACAATATCAACAGATGGAAAATGTTGGATGGCATTTTCGGGAGCATTAAACGCGCAATAAATTCAAAAGCTCTCCTAAGCCCAATCTCTCCAGAGCCCAAATACACCTAAGTCAAAGTTCGTCGGAGCCCAAATTCACCTAAGCCTAAGTTCGCTGTAGCCCAAGCTTACCGGAGGCCAATCTCTCCCGAGCCCAAGCTCACTAGAGCCCAAATTCTCCTGAGCCGAAAGTTCAAAGGTCGCATAATGTCATCAAGTGAAGTAACCGACGCTAATTGAAGACATTGAATGATTAAAAATTAATTCTCATTGATTATTTATCAGTTTTAACTCACAAAAAGGTGAAGAGCCTCATTGTAATTAAAGAGAGAATAAACTCTCGAATTAATAGGAGAATTAAACTCCCTCAATCCTAATGTATTATAAATTCCCTCAACTTGAGAGGAAAGGAGGGGCACTCATTTCTGAATACAATTGCCTTGTGAGTCTTCATTTTGTTTTTGTTATTCCTTCAGAGGTTCTTTATGTTCTTTGAGTGTTCTTCCAATTTTCTTCGATAATTTACTTATTCAATCCAAATTATTAGTCTAAGGATGTTGGATAGGTGTTGGATGAAATTTTACTCTAACAGAAAAATGTCGGGTTTTTTTCACTTTCATTAAAGGTGTTGATGCAAAGTATGTTTAATGTTGTTCACGAGCAATAGGCTTTTTCAGTTAAACTTTTTTCCCCTTTCTTTTTTAATGTTGTTCGTGCTATATCTTAATTATGGTTTCTCAATTGAAATGTGTCAGGGATTCAAGAACATGTCCTTTTTCGGATTTAAAGTTTGGAGAGGTTCAATATCTTTCCTTCAAGAAGTTGAAATAGGTATTTATGGTTTTAGTGCCATATTGTTTTTTGGGAATAGGTTGCATTTTTTTTTATGGGCATATCTATCTTCTTTATGGGATACAAACTTTCATTACCTTTGATGCCTACCGCTACCATATTGCGAAGTGTGATCTTTAGCTTTTCGTTTTAATCTTTATTTTCTAACGTGTTGTCTGCTTGTGTTAGGCCTCCCCTCTTTAATTTATCTCTTTCCTTGCAGTTTTCTGAAGCATTTGGGAAGCTCTATGGATCACGTGGTGACATTCATGAGAATTGCATAAAGTATGCAAATATTTCGAAAACTAATTTAAGCTTCCATTACCATTACCGTTTACCATGAGAACTCATGCAATTTGTGTGTTGTTAGGTTGATATTTATCCATGTTAAACTATGGTAAAACCAAATGAATGTCCGTTTTCTGGTTACTGAAGTTGTATTATTTCTCTTGGACAGCTTGGATATCTACAGACAAGCGCTTTAGCACTTCAGGTTAGTTAGGAAAAAAAAGAAAGAAAAGAAAATCCCGAATCCATATCCATATTCTTTGTCCAAATTACTCAGTTTTTTTTTTCATAGATCTTATACCTTAAACATCACAGGATTGGATGGTAAATTTGTTGTCTGGGATTTGGAAGACCAAGCAGATCTATCCGAATATTTGTGAACACTCATCGTGAAGAACGTCGCACAGCGCCGGTAGGAAATAGGCTTTTTATATTGGTCTTGATTGGTGAGCAGCTCACAATCAATGTTAATTTTCTACGAAAGCCTTCCATACGAGTCGTAGTGATTTTAGCTTTGTACTTCCTAACTGATCCTCATACTTAACTGATCCTCATACTTTGTTTTTTTTTTTTGTTAATATTTTTCTCTCAAGGTTTGGCAACTTCTGTTCCAACACGTGAAGGACAAGTTGGAAATGGAGGTGCCAAGGCTATCATTCTTGAGTGAACTTAGGGAATTTCAGTTGCTTATAGTGTTGAATTCATTACTTTTTTTATTTTGACTTGAACTCTTTGGTGTGGATTGTTTGTTGCACTTTTTTATTACATATCTTACTAATTAGGATTATTGGATATGTATGTGTAATGGACTTGTACTATGGACTTCTAATTGCCGGACCTAAACGCTCATTCAAAATGTTTAAAATCTTTTAATTTATGGACTCTTTGTTCATTGTTTATGTATGTGAAATCTTTTAATTTCTAGACTCTTTCCCATAGTTTACCCATGGTCTCATGCAAAAGCAGCAATTCAGCAAAGAATCACCCATTTTGGAGTGGTATACCGGTGGAAAAACAGTTGAAATAAGTAAATTTGGAGTTGGTTTATCCGAAGTAACCCGGCCGACCTGAGACTACCCGAGGTAACCGAATGATATATGGGTTATGAAATTAATTAACATATTGCGGCCAGCGTTTCGTCAGGCCGATTATTGCGGGCCGGTGCGAAACAAGCCCAAAAACCAACCCTACCCAGTCGACTTTCACCCCTAGTAGATATATATCCCTTGTTCATTTTTTTAATCGTCCAAAACGGTGTGTTTTAGCACTTGCGCTATTCTCTCTCTCTCTCTCTCTGTTTTTTTTTTATTACTCGTGGCAGATCAACTTGAAAGACCATACTTTGTACCATTCCTTCTCTTTCTCCCTTATGTTCAACACTTAGCATTATATATATATATATATATACATGTCTTTATATATATTTTTTCGTACCTTTATATATGAGATTGTTTCTTCATGTGTACGTGTGTGTAATATATATTGATTTTTTTTTTCTTATCCCGTTTGAAGCTTTGCGTGTCCGTAAAAGAAATATGGAGTATTACAAGACTTGCTTAGTGTAACTCCCATTTGTTTTGTGTAACATTGTATTTAGTAGTTTTTAATCATTTTTTAAACTGGTTAGATTGATATTTTAAAGTAACACTATGTTCACGTAAAGCATTACATCAAAATGTATAATAACTTTATTTTATTTATGAAAATATATGAAGAAAATACTTCAAACTTAGCTTAAATAGTTAAATAGATGATATAATTTTAATTTTTTTTACAAACTAGCAGAATATTACTTAACTTTACCTTATTCTGTTTTTCTTCAAGTTAGATATAAAATAGTATGCGAAAAAGGTGCCAAAGTAAAGAGTTATAAAATTATTTTCATTTTGTTGATGATGGTTCTGCGTTATATTTTGAACTAAAATTTTTGTGTTGTCTTTTTTTTTTTATAAGATTTTTTTAATTAACTAATGAAAAGTAAAAATTTTTTTTTTTTTTTTTTTTTTTTTGTAATTTTTAAGTAATTATTTTCAATGTATTTTGTGTCGATTATAGATTCTTCTTACAAGCTAGCATTGACATAAACACTTTTATCTTGGATAACAAAATGCAATATGCAAGTTTTACAAAAAGCACAAAATGAGATGTATTTTTTTATCTTATAATGCTAGTATGTTTTATGTAGTAAATATTATCACATCATGATTCTACGATAAAATGTGAGCTTTTTACCTAGATTTTTTTTTTGATGAAAACTTTTTACCTAGATTATTATTAATGTATACTCTTTTTGTATATTGAAGTGTAATTATGTTTTTATTTATTCTTTCTACATCTTGTTATTAGAAAATTTTCAATTATAACCTAATAAAAATCGAGAAACTTTAAAAAGTATCCCTTCAGTTTTATCTAAATACAACTTTATGCTTGAGTTTTCTAAAATTCAAAAAGTATGCCATGTGTTTTTGAACCCATACAAAAGGTGTTCATTCTTTTAACTTTTTAGGTTTTGTTTTTATAAAATGGCTAAATTATCCTTAGATATCTCATATACTGTTTAAATTCGTGTTGTGCTACACCAACTTTCAAATACTCCTCTTATATTTTTATTTTTTTCTTTTTTGAAGTAAACATCTTAGGAAATTTATAGCAACAATTTGAACATTTTTTTTGTTTTTTCATTTTAATAAGAAAGTGAAATCTTTTTTGAAAAAAGATGTAATTTAAATTTTTTTTTGAAATTCTATTTGGCCGAATTTATTATCAATTTGAGTTGAAAGTGTATTTTATAATGCATGATAAATCAACTTGTTAGAATTATCCAGTACTACTATTACTACATGACAAAAAGTTTACATCTTTTTCTTTCCTTAAAGATTTCACTTTCTTATTAAAATTGAAAATAAAAACTTATTCAAATTAGTGCCATAAAATTTCTTAAGAGAGTCACTTAAAAAAAAAGAAAGAAAAAAACTTAAAGAGGGGTATTTAGAAGCTGATATAGTCTAACACAAATTTAAATAGTATATAAGATATTTAAGCACAATTTAATCATTTTAAAGAAACTAAACCAAAAAAAATTTAAAAGACAGAATATTTTTTTCTGTTTTTAAAAATACAAGAAATATTTTTTGAATTTTAAAAAAGTCAGAATAAAAATTGTATTTAAGCAATACTGAGAGGATACTTTTTGAATTTTCATCACTAGTTAAAGAAAACAGTCTGCGATCATTTTTTTTTGTTTCTGTGTCGTTTCGTCTGTTTGTTGTCGTTTACAAAATAACATGACGGCCCTTTGGGGGGCCATTTGCCCATTTCCACGGATAGAAGCCCACATCTCATGACTCTCGTATCATCATTTTCGAAGCTTTTTTCGCGATCAAATGGAGAATTTACATAGCAAAAGTCTGGATTTTTACTCTAATCATTTAATTAAAAAAAATTATAGTGTAATTATTTAACAAAAAAATTATAAATTAAAAATAAAAAATAATAATTCTGACAGTATATTTTTAAAATATATTCTTAAAAGTATTTTTCAAGTACCCAAGTTTTATTTATCGTCTCTTTCTCCTCTTTCACTTCGCTCTATGATCTATCCTCACTTCCATTTTCACCCTTTATCTTCACTTCTTCTCCTCCTCCTCCTTCTCCCCCCTTTGACTTCTCCTTCTTCCTCGTTAAACCCTAGAAACACCTCCCAAACCCCTAAACGACGTCGTCGTCACCACCGGCGGAGCCATGAATTCCTCCGCTCTTCTCTCTCCTCCTTCCGCCCCTCCCCGCCCCCTCCTCCGCTCCCCCTTCCTCAACTCCATCCCTCTCCGAACCACCACCACAGCCTCCCTTCGCCCCCAACGGCGTCGTTTCAGGGTCTCCGTTCCCAGAAACTCCACAACCCCCGCCGACCAATCCGCCGCCGCCACGTCGTCGCCGCCCACTCCTCCCGATGTCTTCGGAGGCAAGAAGGAGCTCACCGGGATTCAGCTCATCGTCGAGAAGCTCTCGCCGCCGCTGAGGCTTGCCAGCTCCGCGATTCTCTTCGCCGGCGCCGTTGCCGCCGGCTACGGCTTGGGGTTCCGCTTCGGGAAGACTCAGAACGCGGCGCTGGGCGGCGCCGTGGCGCTCGGAGCCGCCGGTGGAGCAGCCGCCTACGCGTTGAACGCGTGCGTCCCTGACGTTGCCGCAGTCGAATTGCACAACTACGTGGCCGGCAGCGACGACCCCAGGGCCGTCAAGAAGGTGGAAATTGAAGGGATTGCCAAAAAGTTTGTTCTTGTTCCTTTATTACTTTGAATTTTGTCTAAGTTTGTGGTATGAGCTCGAAAATTATCTGATCAGGGAATTCCCTTCATTACGATGATTCTCATATTTTATTTCGTAGTTATAGCCATGATTTCTTTTGCACTTCTTTTGTTTAGGTATGGTGTGAGCAAACAAGACGAGGCGTTTAGTGCTGAGTTTAGTGATCTGTATTGCCGGTAAGTTAACTTCAAATTCCCATTAAGTCTCACTTGTTCCTCTAAAGATAATGCGATGAAAACATATATGTTTACATCAGAATGTGCTTGGAGCAATGTGTATTTGCCCCGTTTTTCATTTTACAATCTGGGTTGTTTCCTTTTTTCCATATAGGTTTCTTTCGTCTGTACTTCCTCCAGGAAGTGAAGATCTTAGCGGGAATGAAGTCGATACAATCATCAATTTCAAGAATGCTTTGGGAATTGATGATCCTGAGGCAGCTGCCATGCATATGGAGGTATTTAACTGCCCATGATTTGTGGGGTGTAGTAAATTTAGTATATTTAAGTATGGCCGTGATTGTATTGTTTAAATGTTCGGCCTCTCAAACTGGGTTAGTCCTTGTTGGTTTCCAGATTGGTCGAAGGATTTTTAGGCAAAGGCTTGAGACGGGAGATCGTGATGCTGATATGGAGCAACGTCAGGTAGGTCTTTATGCTTGTTTAAATGGGTTATTGAACTTTCAGATTATTTTGTGGTGCTCACTACTGGAAGAAGATATGGAACTTGAGCATCAGTAGTGGTTTCTCCAGTGCAGGCATTTCAGAAGCTGATTTATGTTTCAACTCTAGTATTTGGTGATGCGTCGTCTTTTCTCTTGCCTTGGAAACGTGTTTTCAAAGTCACTGATTCTCAGGTAGTTCTACAATTAATTTCTCTAAATGTATCAATTTGACATGTTCTATATTTCTGCTCTCTCTCTCTCTCTCTCTCTCTCTCTCTCTCTCTATATATATATATATATCTCCCTTTTTTTATTTAATTTTTTTGCTTCATTTTCTAGGTTGAGATTGCTATCCGTGATAATGCGCAACGACTATATGCTTCTAGGCTGAAATCAGTTGGCAGAGGTAGATATTAAGCTTTTAAGATTAAAGCCTTTAGTGGTCTCAGATGAATGATTTATTGGCAAGGAGATCTTAACTCTGAGCAGTTAACTGCCCTTTTTTATGGGTTTGTGTGGATGCAACTACTAATTTGGTTGATTAGATGTCACATTTGGAGTCTTTAATTCTTGGAATATTTGTCTTAGAAATTTTATCAGTTTAATGCTAGAACATATTGGATCAAGAAAAAATGTTTCTACTTTCTCTTTTGTTATCTCTGCAGCGTAGTACAGTTCCATACAATTAATTGGTTTGCTGTATACTTGGAGTTCGAAGTTATCCTTTTTATCATTAATGATTGCAACCCTTGATTGAATTTTCTCAGACATCAGTGTTGGGCAGCTTGTTAGCCTCAGAGAGGCACAACGTCTGTATCGACTTACTGATGAGGTGCCTCCCTCACTATACATTTTGTCATTGTTAGTAGTCTTTCCTCAAATAGCACAAAGTTATTTACTTGGATGTTTGTGCTTTGTGCAGCATGCTGAGGACTTGTTGAAGGAGCATACAAGAAAACTGGTTGAGGAAAATATTTCATCTGCACTCAGTATAGTGAAGTCCAGAGCAAGAGCAGTGTATGATCTCTACTTTTTTGCACAGTCGCTGTTTGTAGCTATGTTTGAGTGTCAGAAAAAAAATGATCTACTGTCTACTCTTTAATTTAGGCATAGAAAATAATATATCTCTGAATTTCACTTGTGTTCCTGCATGTCATTTATGCAATATAATTTGCACACTCTAATTTAGGATTTTCAGTCAGGGAGTTAAGCAAGTTGTGGAAGAGCTTGATAAAGGACTGGCCCTTAATAATTTACTTATCTCATTAAAGAACCACCCAGAAGCGGATCGCTTTGCTCCTGGGGTCGGTCCAGTTTCTTTACTAGGTAACTATCCCAACTAATTCAAAAGATCAATATTAAGTTATGAATGCAAAGGGTTCTTAAGCTTTGTTAATTTGTTGTCTGGCTTAGGTGGTGATTACGATGGTGACAAAAAGATTGATGACTTAAAGCTTCTTTTTAGAGCCTATGTTACAGATGCTTTATCTGGTGGTCGCATGGAAGAAAATAAGGTAGCAAACACCGGCTTCATTTAAGTTTTTTCTTTCTAATGGTTTTACTTTCATCAACGTGTATGGTAAAATTATTTTGTCCAAGTTGGGGTAGAGTTGTGTTTTTGTGGTGTCGACAACGGTCTGTTATTGTAGAAAATCTCTCTGTAACTGGTGCTTCCTATTTAGTCATTGCTATTAGTTGAAATTTACTGGAAGTGAGAATTCAATTGTTCAGCATTGTTGGAATCTGCGTGCTAGGGAATTTCATTTTCTTCTGTTGTGCATTTTCTGTATTTTTTGTTGGCATTGCTGTTAGCTCTGACATTTTCTATATTTCTTGGTTTATTTAGCTTTCTGCTTTGAATCAGTTAAGGAATATATTTGGCTTAGGAAAACGAGAAGCAGAAGCAATTGTGCTCGATGTTACCTCAAAGGTATATCGTAAACGACTTGCACAGGCTGTTACTGGGGGTGATTTAGAAATGGCAGATAGCAAAGCAACCTTCCTTCAAAATCTCTGTGAAGAGCTGCACTTTGACCCACAAAAGGCCAGTGAGATTCATGAAGGTACTTATGTTGATATACCTGTTATCTGTATGCTTAAGAGTAAACTACCATCCATTTTCTTAATAATTTCAAATTTTCTGTTTTATGGTGTTTAGTACCAAAATAGGAATATTTTACATTTCCGCTGTTAGCATCTAACGGTTTTGGTTTTGTTTTAGAAATTTACCGGCAAAAACTTCAGCAATGTGTGGCTGATGGAGAACTGGATGAGCAGGATGTTGCTGCTTTGCTGAAGCTACGTGTCATGCTTTGCATTCCTCAGCAGACTGTTGAAGCAGCTCACTCAGATATTTGTGGCAGTTTGTTTGAGAAGGTGACCATCTATTCTTCTTTCCTGTGTTTCTTTTCCAAGATGAGCAGATTTTGGTAGAAAATGGTGATTTTCGAGAAAACTATTTGTGTATGTGTGACACTGGACAGGCATCCTTTTTTTTTTTTTTTCCTCGGGCTATGCTTGCTATTGTAGATTGCTTTTCAAAAGGTCCTCTTTTATAGTTTATGCTTAACTTTATTGATGGTCAGCATGTTCGAAAAACAAAAAAAGAAAAATGTATGCATAACACTAATCCGATATATTTTTTCTTGTTCTCTCGTTTCAGGTTGTGAAGGAAGCAATTGCAGCTGGAGTGGATGGTTATGATGCAGATATAAAGCAATCTGTCAGGAAGGCAGCACATGGCTTGAGATTGACTAGGGAGACTGCTATGTCAATTGCCAGTAAGGCAGTAAGTATCTGCTTCATTTTCTCTGTAGTAATTGGTAATATTGCATCCTAATGTAGGTTACTCTCTAATCATCTTTGTGATCTATGTAGGTTCGAAAGATTTTTATTAACTACATAAAACGAGCTCGGGCAGCTGGAAACCGTACTGAGTCAGCAAAAGAACTTAAAAAGATGATAGCATTCAACACCTTGGTTGTGACAGAGTTGGTGAAAGACATAAAAGGAGAACCATCTGATACTCCATCGGAAGAGCCTGTAAAGGAGGAGCAAAAACAAGTCGAAGAGGATGAGGAGTGGGAGTCTCTTCAGACACTCAGGAAAATAAAGCCTAGCAAGGAGCTTGCTGCAAAGTTGGGAAAGCCTGGACAGACTGAGATAACTTTGAAAGATGACCTGCCGGAAAGAGATAGGACTGATCTGTACAAGACATACTTGCTTTTCTGCCTAACTGGTGAAGTGACCCGAATTCCATTTGGTGCTCAGATTACTACAAAGAAAGATGATTCAGAGTATGTGCTACTGAATCAGCTTGGTGGAATTTTGGGTTTGGACACCAAGGAAATAGTGGAAGTACATAGGAGCTTGGCCGAGCAAGCTTTCAGGCAACAAGCAGAGGTGATTTTAGCTGATGGGCAATTGACAAAAGCCAGAGTGGAACAGCTTAATGAGTTGGAAAAGCAAGTTGGCTTGCCTTCACAGTACGCACAGAAGATAATAAAGAACATAACAACAACGAAAATGGCTGCTGCTATTGAGACGGCCATTGGTCAGGGAAGACTGAATATCAAGCAGATCAGAGAACTTAAAGAGGCAAACGTTGATTTAGACAACATGATATCTCAGAGCTTGAGAGAGAACCTCTTCAAAAAGACCGTGGACGAGATTTTTTCATCTGGGACCGGAGAGTTTGATGAGGAAGAAGTCTATGAGAAAATCCCGTTAGATCTTAACATCAATGCTGACAAGGCAAAAGGTGTAGTCCACGAGTTGGCCCAAAGTAGGCTATCAAACTCCTTGATTCAGGCTGTTGCTCTGCTGAGGCAGAGAAATCGTCAAGGAGTGGTATGATTTGTTAAAGACTTGTTTGCATTTTTTTTTTTTTTTTTTAAAAACAATGAATGTATTTGTTAAGTGCATGTTTTGAAGCCTGCGTTCTGCTATTGCAGGTTTCGTCGATTAACGACCTCCTGGCTTGCGACAAAGCTGTTCCTTCGAATCCGCTTTCATGGGACGTGCCAGAGGAGCTTGCGGATCTTTACACCATATACCTCAAAAGTGAGCCAGCACCTGAAAAGCTATCCCGCTTGCAATATCTATTGGGCATAAGCGATTCAACGGCCGCTGCTCTCCGGGAGATGGGAGATAGAGTACTTTCAATCGGTGCAGAAGAAGAAAAGTTTGTGTTTTGATTGTTCCAGAGACGTAGTGAAACTGAAAGGTACACATATGGGACAATAAGCCATGCGCTCATTTTTGTTTGAGAAAAGAAAATGTCAGGAAAAATAGAAAATGTTGAGATTGTTAATTTGTTTGTTAGAGAGGAGCTATAGTTGTGAATGCAAATCGAAGATTTTGAAACTCTAGAATACTAAAAGGTTTTCTAAATTTTGTTGTTGTGCCGTGCAAATATTCTCATGGGGTAACATTAATGTATTGTTGAGGGCCTGAGGCTATTTTCTGTTTTAGCATTAATTACAATCAGGGTCTCAAACGCCGAGGATTGCATATTACGATTTACTTTATTATTGTAGTTGATGCATAAGAAAGCTAGTGAATTAACCAAAATAAACACAGAAAAGAAGACAACGGAAATGCCATTTTTTCTCTCTTTACGACGTAACCAATGAAATTAGAGGGCAAATATTGTTATAGTCGGATGACAGCTCTCTGTAAGTTTAGGATTAAAAAGAACATGTACTGGACGGCTCAAATTCACAATTTTAAAGCAAAAATGATAAAAAAAGGACATGATAAAAAGGAAATGATTAAAAATGATAGGGTTGTTGGTAATGTTAGTCCAATTATGAGAATTGTGTCATTTCGGTTCAAAACTCCTTTTCTTGGTAAATTATTCACGAACTTTGACTTTTTGGTGTTTTTATTCTTTGACACTAAATTGAAAAAAAGACGTGTGAAATTTAACAGAAATAATACCTCTAAATCGAATAGTAACGGAAATTTTTATAAAAATAATTATGTTAGATCTAAAATTCCAAAATATATACTCTATAAAACAACTGAAACATTTTGTATTTAGTTTATAAGGATATATTAAATTTCAGAAATTTTTTGTTAATTTTAATGTTAGAAACTAAATCTGCCAAAAAGCCAAAGTTCACGGAATAATCCATCAGGTAAAAAGGTTTAGGCGATCAAACTAACACAATTTTATAGTTCAGAAACTAACGGTGATAATACCATAATTATAATGTTCCATTTGCCATGTTGAAGAAATTGGGTGCCATCACGGGGGCTTTGGTCAAACTCGAAGGAATGATGGTTGATCAAAGTGATCCAAATTCCAAAAAGGAAACAACTATTGGTATATGCGTCTTGCCGAAAACATTTGACATTAATTGAGCGGTGTCTTAGTCACTGGTGTTTGTAATTGCTCTCTCTTCTGCCTTAGTTTTACTGTAATTTATTGCAAAATGGCAATTGTTAATCTTACAATACTCTAAGAGAGCCGAAATCTTTGAATATGAACTTGCGCTAAGTCTCACAAAGATCGTATAACAATGGGTTAATGTGAACAACTTTGACTTTACACTTGTTTTAATCATTAAACAAAATGTTAACTTTGTTTTTGGTAAGAAAAACGTTTCTATAACCAGTACACGAGTCTTGATTTTTATTCCTTACTCTTGATTAATACTCTTTTGACTAATGTATTTATTTGACTAAAATAATAAGGTAAAAATCTAAACGCATGCACTCTAAGAGAATATTTGTCTCATTTCTTAAAAAAAAAAAAGTTTGGGGGCATCATCAATGCTAAACACCACTATTAATAGAAGATCGACCTAGCCTCATACTATTAATGGGTGTTTTGTGCCCTATAACATTTTCACAATTTCTACTTTGCCATAAAATTGCACTGTATATATTATTGATGTTGGAAGATTCTAAAGTTTGGGGTACTCCCATACGATTCCTTGAAATTAAAGCTTAATGCAAAGGTAACCACAATGGAAAATTCAAAAGTTAAAAAAGTTTTATTTTTGACTAATTAGATTCCACATGCCAAATATGTTCACACAGTACTACAACAACTACCATGTAATCGACTCACGTCAACAAGTGCCAAGCCCTTGGTCTTGTACCTTTTTTTGGTTTGGTTTGAAGAAAACTTAAAAAAAAAAAAAAGTTAAATAAAGCAAGACAAATAAGAAACAGACTCGTAAGCTTTGACTCTGTAATGTGTTAGTGGTATCTCACGCAAACATGTCGAACAGCACTATATATCCAAATTATTAAAGTTGTCAAACAGTCAAATGTCTATATATACATGCATATTACAGCTTCTCTTCATCAAATCCTCAGCGACAGAAAGCTCTATTCTAAATTGATATCTTACCAATCAGTACTCTTTGCATTATGGCGTTAAACTCACACCCCAATAGAATCTATTTTTTTGTGTTTTACTTGTTCCTGTACTACAAAACAGCCTCTGCTTCCTCAGATTTCTACGGCGCGACATGCCCGAAAGCGCTTTCTACGATAAGAAACGAAGTGACCAAGGCGGTGGCGAAGGAACACCGCATGGGAGGGTCCTTGCTGCGCCTCCACTTTCATGACTGCTTCGTTAATGCATGTTCTCTCTCTCTCTCTCTCTCTCTCTCGCGCGCGCGCGCGCACCAAAACACAATCGTTTCAATGAGTATAACATAATCGTCAGTAATTTTGTTGTTCTAGAGAGCTAGTTATAACTTGGAAATAGCTCCAACATGCTCTCAAGAAGTACTTTTTGGAAAATTTAAGCTTTGCTTTTAGTATTACATTCATGCATGCATACATGAATACAAAAATAGAATCGAAGATATCCAAACGTTTAAAATCGGAGCTTTCAAAGTAAAAGAATACCTACATGGTAATTAAATATAATTAGTCATAAAAATTATAATACGCGGTTTCGAAAAATTCATTATAGATGTGAATTAGTACATGCTTGTCGTCAAGTATAGTTTCTTAAAAATTTGTTTTCATGCAAAATGGATAAAAAGAAGTCGTACATGCTTATTGAAATTTCAGACTTGACGAGTGCTTTTGTGCGCATTTTACAGGGATGTGATGCATCTATTTTGTTAGACGACACTTCAGATTTCACGGGGGAGAAAACAGCAGCTCCAAATATAAAATCCGTAAGGGGTTTCGAAGTGATTGACACGATAAAGTCTCAGTTAGAGAGTATTTGCCCTGGGGTCGTTTCTTGTGCAGATATACTAGCTGTGGCAGCTCGTGATTCTGTTGTTACAGTAAGTACAAAACAAATATATGCCTTTATTCGTTCCAAAGAAAAACTAGCTGATCATTTCGAATTTCGGTTTCTTTTTTTTTTTTTTTTTTTTTGTTTTTTTTTTTTTTTTTTTTTTTTTTTTTTTTTTTTTTCCAGTTGGGAGGGCCTTCTTGGACTGTTCAGTTAGGTAGAAGAGACTCAATGACAGCAAGTTTTAGTGGTGCAAACACCGAGCTCCCATCCCCAATATTTAATCTCAGTGACCTCATAACTACCTTCTCACTTAAAGGATTCACCGTTAATGAAATGGTAGCTCTTTCAGGTAAGAAAAAAGTCTCATATAATATAGCCAAAACGAATGAAGTTTTATAAAATAGAATTTTCAAAGAAAGATTCATAAATTAAACAGAATTTTCAACATTAATTAGTACTTTGACACCGTTCCTTACTTAATTATGATTATAGGAGCACATACAACAGGGCAAGCAAGGTGTGTATTTTTTCGAAATCGGGTCCATAACGAGACCAACATCGATTCGACATTTGCGACATCGCTAAAATCAAACTGCACAATAGACACAGGAGATGATGAGAACCTTTCTTCACTGGACATAACAACTCCAGTTTGGTTTGACAATGGATATTTCAAGAACTTGTTGAGCAGCAAGGGCCTCTTGCATTCGGACCAGCAACTTTTCAGCGGCGGTTCGACGGACTCTCTGGTCACCAAGTACAGCAATAATGCTGAAACATTTTACCAGGATTTTTCCAACGCCATGCTGAAAATGAGCAACCTTAGCCTCCTCACAGGGACTGCCGGTCAGATTCGCACCAATTGCCGGAAAATAAATTGATCAACTTTTATAAATCATCTTATCCTTGGAATGACTAAATAAATCATGTTGCATGTGTTATGATTTTTCTAAATCCTGGTCAGTACCTTAATAGAGTTGTAATACTTGAGTGTGGAAATTAGTACTACTTGTCTGGGTAGCTCCTTTTGTATTCCAATCTTTCAAAAAGAAATGGCATTACTTTAAGTTATATGTTTGTAATCAAATTTCTCGAGTATCGATATGAAGTTTGTTGAGTTTTCTTTGATTGAGGACGAAATTTTGGTTTTTACTGCCCTCACAGTGAAGTAACATCACGTCACCAGCCAAGAGAGTTGACAAATAATACCATTGCACTATGGATAATGATAATAATTACAATTAATAACAAGTACGGGTTGACTCTTATAGAATTTACCTGCCTAACGTCGAAAACTGCTTATTCTTCTACAAGAATTCAATAAAGTGATAGATATGTATCTCCCACTAAGCTTCTAGAGTTAGCCCTAAAGAAAAAAAGAACTAATTACAAACAAAAGAAATAGCTAGACTTGTCTTCTACCGCGCAGGCCAAAAATTAGAAAATAAAGATGAAAACAAAAGAAGCATCATCATCAGTAAGTACAATACTGTAGTCACCAAGGTCATCTCATTTGATGGTGTTTGTATATTATATATTTTTTTTTTGTTGAATTGTTATTAATTAAGGATTTTCTTTTGTTTTTGGTTCTTTTGCTTCATCAGTAATAAATATTCAACTTTTAAAATTAGGGAGATTCTTTAGCACGTCTGGCGTGCCGGTAGGCCATGTTTTTTTAACTGTTAAATCTGTATATTTTTTTAACTTTTAATTGATTTTATACAGATTCAACAGACAGAAAACTTGACCTACTAATACGTTAGCGTACCGGAGAAAGTCCTTTGACACAATATTGATGAAATCTTGTTCTTTGAATTGTTTGACTTAATTATTCCTCTTGTTGTCCGTTTTTCTTCTCCAGTAATTAAAAAAAAAAAAAGAACCCATTTCCTTTATGAACACGCTCCTTATAAATTACCGGAGTATTGCAGACGACCATCATATCATTTAGTTCAAGAATAACGTTATCATCAATGCATAGTACTATCTACTAATAGAAGTTGAATCTTAGTGTGAGCAACATCTATCAATAAAAAGTGAATTTTGTACCATGAAGGACACTGATGGAGTCCACTCTTTATCATATTGGTGCTTAGCACTAGTGATACCCCGAATATTTTTTTTAAATGAACTACATATATACTAATTATATGATTCTTCATGTAATAAGATATATAATTATAAGTCCGTACTGATTGAGAACAGTTGATCCAGCTAACGCGTAGGACTTACTACTTAGGCTAATTAATTAACTTTCCTACAATTCATCCTTATTTCTCCATCAGATCCTGTAAGAACCTTCATATTACCCATCTTGATCATGGAATCCCTAAAAGCTTTAAAGAATGCTTTAGGGTTGTTACTGTAGTATTGAACCACATTATCACTCTCACCGCCATCACCCTTGAAGAGCTCTACCCTTTGATCCAACCAAACCCTTGAAGTAGGCTGTATCAAATTTCGCGGACGTGGTTGCATCGAATGAAGCCGTGTTGTCGTCTCCTTCGGTCGCGGGACAGATCTTTTGCATGGAGACTAAGAAATTAGGGTCAATGTTGGTGTCGTTGTAGATTCGGGTTCTGAAGTGGACACATTTGGCTAGTCCTAAGGTATGGCCTGCTGAGAGGACAACAAGGTCTTTTAGTTGAAGACCGTGGGATTCGAAGTTGGAAACAAGTTAAGAGAAGCTCAAGAATGGAGCAGGGAGATTGGTATTTGTGTCATCAAAGCTTGCTGTTCTTGCATCTCTTCTACCAAGCAATACTTGGTTAGCAGGACCTCCCAACTATATGTAGCAGACACATAATTAATTACAAAAGGAAATTAAGTGAAAGTATGAAAAAAATATTAAATTAGCCATATATAACGCTCTGCTAATGACTATCTCTAATTCATCATACATCGTGTTATTTGATCTAACATAACATTATTTGGGTAGAGCACTTCGATTTGTCACCACAGAACTATTTATATGGGTCCAATTTTAATAGGTTAAAACAATTATTTTTCAACTCTTTTTTAACATAGTTGGGACTCACATACATATAGAATCCGGTAAACTCTGCAAGTAGAAATGTCTTAATAATAATACATATTTCTGAAATTGGAATCATCTTAAAACATTATCAAAATGGCAATAAAAACATTAGTAAAACAATCAATGAAAATTTGGCGACATATGTAGTAATATGCTCTACTAAATATATATATATATATATATATATATTCAAACGTAAGAATGTGAAAAGAAATTAAAAGGAACTCACAAGTGCAATAGAATCATGAGCTGCAACTGCCAAAATCTCTGCACATGAGATAACATTGCTCTTGCTTTAAAAATTGAGAGTGCAACGGCTCAGACTTTTTTTTTTATTTTTTTTATTTTTAATTTCCCCCTTAATTGGAGGTGGAGAGATTTGAATTCTACAGTGAGCGGTTGAATCAAGTATGGATGTCGGAGATTTTAGTTACACAAACCTTCCAAATAATAATAATAATATTAATAATAGATGCATATATAATAGGTTTATGGCTTGGAGACATAGCCTTATAATTCTTCGCCATTCTTATGAAGCCATTCCTTTTTATATCCATGCTAATCAGACTAATTCTTAAATTTCCTGTTGGGATAGAACAAATCTCAATGTTCTATTACTTATGAATTCAATAATTTATAGTATAACTTCCTCTCAAAGCTTGTAATCTAACAATATATAAAAGAGCTAAAGCTCTTTTTTATAGGACTGCCACATGGTAGCCCCTATTTTTTTGTGAATTTTTTTTACATTTTATTTTTGTGTGTGTGTGTGTGTGTTTTTTTTTTTTTTTTAAATATGATGTTCTTGACTCTAATCCTATAAGAGTAATTTTTTTGTTATTGCATATATTCTTATTTTATTTTTAATTGTTCAAATAACAAAAGAGCCAAAGCTCTTTTCTATGGGGCTGCCACATGGCAGCCGCTCTAATTAGCTCCTTTTTTTTATCTTTATTTTTTTGTAAATTTTTTTTACATTTTAATTTTTTTGTGTATTTTTTAAATATGATGTTCCTCACTCTACTCCTATAAGAGTATTTTTTTCGCACGTGTTCTTATTTTATTTTTGGTTGTTAACATAATTTTCTTTAAATGTGTCCATACTTAATTTTTTCATCAAATGTTATCTTTACACATTCTTTTTATAAAATAAATTCAAAAATCCTTAAATGGTTGTATAAATAAATTTCTCATCATTCGATAAATAATAAATTCTTCAGGTATCTCAAACACGGCAATACATGCAAAGAATGTTACAGCACTAATATAGAATAAAGAGGGGAGGGCTTCCGTACTCATATGGTCGATAGAATTAACATGGTAGCCATTCCGTCATATTCTTTAATCATGATCAACAGGAGCTTATACAACAGGCCAGGCAATTGGGTGTGTTATGTTCCGAAACCGGGTCCACAACGTGACCAAATCGATTCGACATTTGCAAATGTCGCTAAAATCAAATAGCATAACGAACAAAGAAGATGATGAGAACCTTTCTTCACTGGACTCAACAAGTCCAATTTCAAGAACTTGTTGATGAGCAAGGGGCCTCTTGCATAAGAAACAGCAACTTTTCAGTCGCGGTCTGATTGACTCCATGGTCACCAAGTACAGCAATAATGCCGAAACGTTTTACAGCGATTTCGCCAACGCCATGTTGAAAATAATGACTAAACAAAGTTGTTAACAGTTTCATGTACTGATAGTTTCTTCAATTGTGCTTTTGATATTTAGTTGGTGTTGCATGTGTTGTGATTTTATAATCTGATCAGTTAATAGAGATGTGTGTGGAAATCAGTACTACTTGTCCAGGTAGCTCCTTTTGTATTCCAATCTTTTAAGCAGTAATGGCATTTTAAGCTACAAGTTTGTATTTTTATTTTAAAATATAATGGCATTTTAATTATTATCATTACGTTTTAAATTAATAACAATATTAATTGTAAGGTATCCGTATATTTTTATTTTCAAATATTATGGATCCAGCATTTAGATTTTATTTATTGGAATATTCAATATTTAGTTGTTAAATTATCCCATATTTCTAGGCATTATCCTTACATTAAACATATCATGTTGTTAGTGATTAATGGAAAATATTTATTTATTATTTATTTTTTGTAATCTCTCTAAGTCATTGGATGGAATCTAAAAAGAGGGTGGATGAATTATTTTGACATTTTTGTATTATTAGGAGGTTGCGAATTCCTTCAAATGAATTTATCATTAATTGAGGTCAAGACTCTCTCGAATGGGCCTATATCTATCTTTCTTTTCATTAGTTACGGCTTGGTATCAAATATTAAGTGTGTTTTTCATTGAATGAGGACGAATTTTTGGTTTTAACGCACTCAAAGTGAACTAACATCGCGTCAAGAGTTGACAAATAATACCATTACACTATAGATCATGATAATAATTAAAGTAATAAGTTAGGATTGATTCTTAGAGATTTTACCAGCCTAATATTGAAAAAAACTGCTTATGCTTCTTCAAGAATTCAATGAAGTGATAGATACACACCTCCATCTTAGCTTCTAGACTTACCCTAAAGGAAAAAAAAAAAAAATTATAAACAAAGAATAGCTATCCTTATACCCCTAAAAAAGTAAAAAAAAATAAAAAATTAGAACCAAAGAAACATGATATACTATAGTGTTCCCAAGGTAATCTCATTTGATGGAGTTGCATGCACCTAAATAATCTTTTTTTTTTCTTTTTTCTTTTTTAGACTTCTGTTATTCATTAAGGATCTTTTTTTTTTTTTTTTTGGGTTCTTTTGCTTCATCAGTAACAAATTATATTCCACTTTGAATAAGGCACAACATTATTTACGAATTTTGTTCTATGAATGGGTTGACTTAATTTTTCCTCTTGTTGTCGTGTAGTAACAATGAACCCCCCTTTTTTTTTTGTGCTAATAAAAAATGAACCCAATTTGTCTCTATGCACATC